GCTCGCTCATGCATGTAGCGCAAGTCTCTGGGGACTAGAGCCCTAGGAGCAGGAATTAAAAAAAATATATATCTGAACAGTTTAGGCATTATTTGTTTTAAAAAGTAGGCTTGTCACTTGAAAATGGTACCCTAAAATGCTCAAAACACCTGAAGGCAAATGAAAAGGCATTTGTTTGGGGGGGCCTGGCTTGTGCCTTTGAGGGCCTGCAGGGTCATCGGCACTTTTGTCTTTGCTACTGGTTTTCATGCTTAATATCCGCCCACACATTGGCAGAGGCAACAACTTTGCTTTCTCTGCTCTTCACCAGGGAAGGATTCCAGGATTGACAGCCAGTGATTCAAAGTGCATTAACAAGACATATGCTGTCAGGAAAAAAGTTACTATTCTCTTTGGTTACCATACAATTGCCTCTGAAAAACAGTGGCACTGCTTATATCTAAAGCAAGGGGAAAATACTGTATCTTGGATACCACAGGATGGTAACTGTAGGAAAAGTTAACTCACTAATAGCAATCACTTTGTCTTGTTTGTCACTGATTAGTTATGTAAATTTGTCATCCTGGTAACTTCTATACCCCTGCATCAAGGTGACATCTCGCACATTCATAATTGCTGCCAGTGTTATTTCCACACCTTGATCTACTGAATGTAAAGTGCCACTTACTACAAAGTCCACACAATCAAAAGGGCTCCTTTCAGTGCTTTCCGCATGTTTGCTGTTCTCTTTTGATGGGCCCAGCATGTCAGAAGCCAGTGGGAAGCAAACACTACATGCACAACATGGTTTCTCTTTAGTTAATTAGCTAAATCAGGTGCATAATGTTGTCTGCTTGGCTCTTGGAGAGTGAGCAAAGGGAGAAAGAAAGGCTGTTTTACCTAAGCATGACTCAAGTCAGAAAGGAGAGCAAAAATTAAAGAGCAGAAGGAAAAATTATATTTATTATTGTTTATACAACACCAAGGCACTTCACAGGCAAATAACATGAAGCTCTTTAGACCGCAGTAACTTATCATTTAAAGGCCAGTCTCATGCTGGGTCGTATTTTACTCTATAAGTTATCCCATTAACATTGGTGCTATGCAACCTATATAAAACCCCCAGGATCCAGCTTTAATTAAGGAAACCTAAACATCTAATAACTGTTATTAGGTGAAAATGGTGCAGCCACAGCCATAACTCTTACAGTGAGAAGTAGAGAAAAATAACTATCATCAGGTTTCAAACTGTAATATCCAGGCTAGTAATTCATGGACTTCTCTAAGTCGTGCTGTCCTCACACAGTCAGAGAGTCAGTGTGAGGCCAGCTTATTATCTCTTTATTAAAACAGTCATACTGATGATTTAAAAGATTCTGATTAGCATATGCTTTGTAAAAAACATATGCCACTGCTGATGCTTCTCTTGATTACATGAGTTTCTCAAGTAATGAGACCGAAAGAATCCCTTCCAGCTAACAGAAGGAAATGCAGTTCTTCCCAAGTCAGTCCTTTGCTCCGTCCCCAGTCAAGTTCACTGAGATTTTGTGCCTTCCGAAACATGCCAGACCCTTGTTCAAATTTTACTAATAATTTAAGCAGCATAAGCCAAGTACAGGTAAGGCTCCCTGCACATCTCCATGTGGCTAGGTTTGGGCAGCAAGAATAAACAGGCCAGAAATCCAGTAATATATGTCCTTAGTACACTGCTAGCAGGAGTATGGCATTGAAGGCGGAGGCTTGGTCCGGTAATGACTGAGTTATGCGAGTATGCAAATTTCAGTTGGCACCTACTTACGTACATCGGATTGTGCACGGCAGCTGAACCAACGGTGCCTAAAATCACCTCTTGGGCTGGGGTCTAGGCTCCAGAAAAAATTCAGTTTTTTGTTTTTTGAAAAGTTTACAAAAAGTAGGGTTAGATATTAGTTGGCACAGCTCATCTTTAACGATACACAATAGCAGGGTGGCTCAAGTCCCAGCCCACAGGCCAGATCCAGCCAATGGAGCCATGTCATCTGGCTTGCAGGGTCCTCACAGGCCTGCAGATTCGGTGACTGGGGAGCAATGGCAGTATAAATGCCTCTCTCCTACTGCCATACTTCAGGGCCTGTGAGAAGCCCTGCAGTAAGGATAGCGTAGTCCTACACCCTAGATTGGGCACACAGGGCTGAGCAGAGGCAGTGTGGGGCCTGATCCAGGCATCGGGCCAGGGTGCAGCAGGGACCATGGCTGGTGTGCGGGGCCTGATCCAGCCCCAGAATGGCCCCACACCACTCTTCTGGCCAAAAGGTTGAGTACCACTGCACAACAGTAAAGGCTACTGGTGAACTCCACAATACTCTGATGAGGGGATAGTTTATAATGAGGCAATCAGGGATTTATGGCATTTTGTGTTTCAGATTTACAGGAACATAGGCTACTCCCAGGAACATTTCATCACTCTTGAACATTTGAAAAAGGCTCTCTGCAAAACCTCTGTCTGTTGAATCAATGTGGCTTCCGTTGCTGTAGTGCATGAAGGCCACAATCTATAACGTATTTATCTTCGTGAAGCAGCACAAGGGGTTGGGAAGAAATGCTGTTATCCCCGTTTCATAAACAAGGAGTGGAGATGAAGTGCGAATAAGTGCCACAAAGGTAGTCTGCGACAGAAGAGAGACTTGAACATGGGTGTTGTTGAGTTCTAGCTTAACATCCAAACCTCACACCATCTTTCTTCCAAGTTTCTGTGACAAGGCATCAGAGTCTTATCAGCATATATTTGGGAAGACAGTTGGCCCTTAACATGCCTTTATGAAAACATGCTTGTAGTGGGGCTGTTTCATTGTGGTTTGATCACCCTGCACAAAGCTGGCCAATTTAGTACACACTAAACCGGCCAAACATTCCCTGTCTTCCTGACCAGCACATAAGCAGTGGGCAGGCTCTCGTGTCTTCCACCTCTCTTTTGGGTTTGGCTGGACGGGCTCACTAAAGAGATGCCAAAGACCCTCTGACCCTGTTGCCCATTCTTTAGCAGCTCTGTGACAGTCCAACTTCAGCTCTGTTTGAGGTGAGAGGAACTGGCTAAGCCACTTCACAGACTTGGAGTGTAAGACCGCAATATGCTCTAGCCATAGCTCCTCCTTGCCTCTGAACATGATATATTTGGGGACCTGCCGCAGAAGGCACTAGAAGCTGATTACCCAAGATCATTGTGGAGTACCCCATGCTCAGGGACATGGTCAATAGGGCAGACCCAGCTGTTTTTCGCTCCCTTTGTGACATTAGAGCTGGAAGGGCTGGCGGGCCCAGCCCAGCACCTGGGCTGTGGTTTGCAAATCTGCACAAATATGGGCGACCCTTGAGTTCATTTGCATCCCAGTCTCAGTTGCACCTGTTGGTGTAGATCTGGTGCAGTGCCTTTGAGGTTGATGGCTTTGCTCCAGACTACTCAGCCAGGGCAATTTCTTGCTCTGTCTCTGGCACAGAGTGAGGGATGTGGAGGTTGTCCATCCTCCTGGTGCTTCAAAGGATCAGTCAGAGCCTGGAGCTGGGGCTTCCCAGCTTTCTCAGGAGGCAGCAAAACAGCACAGGCAGTTACTGACCCTGCCTCCTGCTTTCTCACCAAATGAGAGGGTGGAGAAAAGAGAGGGCAAGCAGCAATACAGGCCAAATAGAAATTGGGAGCTAGACTGAGGCCAAAGGCTCTGGCAAAGCAGTCATCCTCCTCCTACAAGCTTCTTTAATTAAGAAGCATCTTAATGAAGCCCTGTGCTATGGCTCCTGCTCAGTCACACAGGAGCCAGAGAAGTAAGCAGCGAACTTACTTAAACATTACAAGGCAGGGGCCTTGCTCCTGACCTCAGACAGGTCTCTAGTGAAAAATGAGAGAGACTCAAATTAACTGATGCACACAGAAAGGCTGGTTTCATAACAAGCGGGAACTGATGGGACTCCTTCTCCCTGGCCTGACTCACCTTCTAACACCACTTCCATTCACCCCTATTAATGGAACTAACTGAGACATCAGGAGATGCTTGACACCCAGGTGGATTACATGGCAAAAGCGCCTCTGCTTCTGAGAGATGCTAATTCCTCCCACCTTGGTTTTTGTCTCCAGGGAAAAAAATGCAAATGTAAGTGCTCCTCCTGGGCCTGATTTATAAAGCTGTATAAAAAAGAATGGTTTGGCCAAAGGAGAAATGCTATGGGCCAAAAAGACTTTAGCCTCAAGTCCTTGAGGCAAATCCTATTTCAGCTCTGAGGCACCCCTCACCCCTGAATCGGTGGTCCTACTCCATGCTGCCTGAGTCCCAGAAAAACTGTTATCATACTTATTTTTGTAACATGCCCCATCTTAGCCTTAAGACTATGTTACAGGAAGCAATGAGGAAGGGGAGGAGCCACTTGCCTTTTGTACTGAGTTTTTTCAGGGGCCCAAGCAAAGTGAGATATGTTTAGTCTTAGACTTAGATTCTGGACC